TGATAGCGTGCCCCCTGGAATGGGCCACGACTCATGACAGAGACACCATCGGGTGGGCCGCACGGCCGGGAGCTTCCCAGACGGCCGCCCCAGCAAAGTCGAGTCAATAATACTTTTCGCTCCACGACAAGCCCAACGACTTCATGCGACAAGGAGTAAACTCATAGCATTACCACCTGAACCAATCGTTAGCTCTGACAGAAAGAGGAGTATGATTATCCAATCAGTGCGCCCGATTCTGTCGGATCTGACGCCCTTGTCGTGTACGGACTAACAGAAGGCCGCAATATAAAAGGTCTCTTCCACTGACCGGGAAAGTAATCTATCTCTCTCAGACTCTTACACTCACTCTCAGATAAGATACTAACTTGATTGTTTGAGCGTTTTGCCGGAATCACCTCCCGAAGAACGGTTGAAGGCATTGTATCGTGTTGTGATCTCGCAGACTACATCGGAGCAGAAAGGATCTCCTACCAAGTGTCTCGAATCGAGGTCACATCATTTGGCACCATCCGGTGTGTGACAACTAATATACAAAACCACACATCAACAAACCTTGAAGATGACCGACAAAACCAACGAAATGCTGAAGAGCCCGATACGGTCGATGACATCCCTAGAACCAGTCAACACCCCCGTATCAATGCCAAACCAGCCTCTGATAATCACGGATAACATGTTATTTCTTGGTGACTCAACATCAATCAACGTACCGATTAGCGAAGTATGGCGACCAACACCATCATCCTCCATGCCACCACCACCTGAGTTTTCAACGAACAACCAGCAACCGGCGTCCATTTTCACTCAAACATCCATACTGACAACAATCCAAGCTACTAGAGGACATAGCGCTTTTGCTTGTGCATTTGCGTGGGATTCTTGATGATAGAAGCAGTTAGGTCTGGAAAGTTTCTGAGGTCTCCATCTAAGATTCAAAAGGTCTTTGAGTTGTTGGGTCTTTATCTGGGAGATTATCTTGCGTTGTGTTATACATTCTAAGAGTCATGGATGGTATATATCTGTTTGAGTTGGTTTGAGTGGGGTTTTTCTGCAACGTCAGTTGGTGATAGTTCGAACCCAAGTGGGGGAGAACTGGGCATGCTATTTGAAAGATCATTGATCTGTTTGAGTTCGTGGTTTCAGAAGAACGGGTTATAGGGATTGGCGGTCCGGATATGCGAGGCTTTGGTTCAAGATGTGGTCAAGACGGGGTATAAAGCAAGTTAACCTTTGTTGTATGAGCTCAGGAGTGAATGAGTCGTTTTCGCAACAGGAAGTTGTTGGTCAGGGATGTAACATCCCAAAACACGAGGGTAAAAATTTCATTTTTAAAACAATCAAAACACCCATTTATCATTTAAACAAATCCTTAAAGATATCTTATAATAAAAACAGTTATCAGAGTACAATCCCAAAATCTCAAAGTTGCGGAAAATATGGTGTATGCGCCGTGATCAAGCCGGGCCCTTCCCTTTCGAATCGGAAGTACCTGAAACCATAAACAACAACTATAAGCACAAAGCTTAGTGAACTCCCCAAATACCACATACCAGACATAACATACGAGCCATACATAACATACATATCCAACATTCAATAGGGAGTGCTATGTGCCAACCATAGTCTTGCCATTATGCCACGAGCCGTATCATGGTCTTTCCTTGCTAGGCCGGGGGCCAAAACCCTGGGTCTTACAGACAAGTGCCAGGAGCCACCTGCTGGTCTTCCATGCAAGCATCACAAAGACAACTAGCATAATCTACAACTACTTATCTACTTAACTGTTAGAGTCCAAACTCTGGTCTTGTATACAGATTTGCCAGGAGCCAACTCTTGGTCTTTCATACAAATGCCAAGGGCCACCCCCTTCTCTTCTTATAATACAAAAACCAAATGGGCCGACATTGGTGCCTTCGACCCATAGTACAGTGAGGAGACTCACCTCGCACTGCTGAATCACACTGATAATCCCTGGCTGTTGGTCCGATAATTCCCAAGCTATCACTATCAATTGATACCAAATTAACACTTGGGTCCCAAACCAAAACCAACAATCCATACATGTGGTAAAAAGACCATTTTACCCCTCACCTAGTTTGGTCCAATACTAGGGCCCAAACTGACATTCAAAAAGGCCCACAACCAAATAATCATCCAAAGTCCACTTAAGACCCAATTTCCCAAATTGGGCCCAAACCCTTACATGGGCCTTACCCTAAAGCCCATTAACTTTTCCCTAATCCAAAACACTTGTTCTCAGATGGCCCAACAATTCCCCAAGCAACCAAGCCCAAAATATAGCCTAAACCGGAAGCCCAAACATGGGAGGCCCAATAAACCGAGTACGCAGGGCGTACTCAACACGTACGCGTAGTGTACTCGCTTGGAGGGTTGTACGCTAAGCGTACCTGCTTGTACGCCCAACGTACTCACCATCTTCAGCCCAAATCTTGATTCAACACTTAATCCCTTAAGACAAAGCTTCCAAAACATAAATCTGACTTCCTTGAGCTGGATTATCACGTAAAGTTGCTAACTTTACGTTCATGCATGGCTAAATAAAGATCTTTAAGCTTAAAAGGGACTTAATGAGTGACTTACTGCATGCATGATACCAAAAATCTCATAAAGCTTGCACCTTTATGCTCAAGGAGACCAAAACAAACTCAGATCTAAAAGAACAATCCCTTAAACGACTTAATTCTTCCATTAACCCAAAAAGGGACCAAAAGGATAACAAACTAACTAAGAAGAGATCTAAACATATACAAGCCAAGATGCAAACTTGATACCTCAGAAATCTTTCCCATAAGATGATGATTCTGTATCTAAAGCCTTTTCACCAAGCAAGGCAACTTCAAGTGTAACATCCCAAAAATTCAAGCCAATTTAAAACTTTTAAAACATTTAAAACCATTAAGTTATTACAGTTTGTTTTCAAAATAGTTTAATCATCAGAGTATCCCTAGAATCAAATCATAAAATCATGATATATGAGGAGTTGTACGATCACGCCTTCGCCTTGCCGAGATATCTGAAGTACCTGAAACAATAAACTGAAACTATACGCACATAGCTTAGTGAGTTCCCCCAAAATACCAACGCCATACAAATATAACCATATCATATAACAAATACAGAACAGTGTGCATAATGAGCCTTCAGCCTGACTGGACCGCCTCTCAGGGCCTACAGTCTATCTGGACCGCTCCCGAGCCTTCGGTATGACTGGACCGCCTCGCAGGGCCTACAGCCTATCCTGACCGCTCGCCGGGTATGTTGGCCTACAGCACAAAGCAGGACCGCCTCAACCCAACCCAACCACAATGTCGACATACGTATAACACATAATCAAACAATAAGCACAAATCATACAGACTGCTAAGCATAGCATCATCTTATCTACCAGGATACCGATCTAACAGATCATAACAGCATAACAACACCCTAACTATCATGGTACCGATCTAACAGATCATAACACATATCACCACCCTAACTACCAGGGTACCGATCTAACAGATCATAACATCATAACAACACCCTAATTACCAAGGTACCGATCTAACAGATCATAACAGCATAACAACACCCTAATTACCAGGGTACCGATCTAACAGATCATAACAGCATAACAACACCCTAACTACCAGGGTACAGATCTAGCAGATCATGAACGCATAACAACATACTAAATGCAGGATAATAATCCAAAGGGACCGACCTAGTGTCGTAGACCCTGTTAGTATAGTGAGGAGAACTCACCTAGCATTGCTGAAGTCCTGCAGACAAAACTCCAGCTGCTGGTTGACAGCTTCCCGAACTGTCAACATCAAACAATACCCAATTAATAATTGGGTTCCAAGCCCACGGTCCAACTCACACTCCAAAAGACCCAAAAGTCAAGTAATGGGTCAAAGCCCAACATATGGCCCATTAATAATCAAATTACCAAAGCCCAAGTGAAATTAGGATTTCACATAAAATGACAATTAGGGTTAAGTGTTTCTCACTTAACCCATTAAGGAATTAATCCATTAAGCCCATTACTCTACTGGATAAATCATATGGTGTAATTGGGTGTAATTCACAACTCCATTTCCAATGGCCCAAATGTGGGTTTCTTCATGAAATGATGATTAGGGTTAAGTGTCCCTACTTAACCCATTAAGGACTTAATTTATTAAGTCCAATATTGCCTTAGATTAATTGCAAATGATTATTAATTAACATTTTAAGTTTATAAAATAATTCCCGTGTGTGTCCCGATTAATCCCAAAATTAGGGTTTTAAGCCATTAGGGTTTCCTACCCAATACTAGCCCATTAATCAATTGGTTGGGCTTTTAGGTCACTTTGGGGCCTCATTGGGCGCATTAGGGTTTTATTAGGTCAATTAGGGTTTCCTAGGGCCCATTAGGGCTTCATTGGACCCATTTTGTCCAAGCATCCCCCAAACGAGTCAAACCACTACAAGAAAAATGACTTACATTCACACCAAAAAAGTGTGACCATATGCATATAGTGACATTTTATTTTTTCACTGAAAGTGTGACGGAAGGTGACGCCATCGTATGGGTCTTCTGGTCACTTTAAAATGTAGTGTCCGTATGAGATGAAAACATGTGGCCGTATTATAAAAGTGTGGCAAATTTGTACGGAAATTTTTTTCATAAATATCCAATATTGTAGCGTTAAACCGTCAATAGACACATTTATTTAGTAACTGTGGTGACTGTATATCACCAACTTGCGACATTCATGATGTTTTAGTGTAGTTGTTTTCTTTTATATTGTCACACAGTTTAAATTTTGTTAAGACTATTGTGTTGGTAAATGGACACATATAATTAATTCCATAAGTGACGAATTGCTAATAATTAGTCACAAAAAACAATCAAATTTTGTGACTATAGCCTATCGTACAGAGACACACAATTAAGTGAAATACAATCATAAGTATTATAAAGACACACATTTTGTTAAAATTAAGGACTATTCGGCATCGTAATAAGACTATTGGGTATATTTTAGATACATATAATTACGGTGAACATGACTATGTTAGGTAAATGGACACATATAATTAAATTTATAAGTGACGATTTGCTAGTATTTTGTCACAACAACAATCAGTTATGGTATCTATTGTTAACCATTTAGCCACACGTTAAAAAATGATGTAAAGTAACCATTGTATAATTATAGAGACATTGAAAACCAATAAAACATGACCAAATTTATATTAAAGCCTCTTTAATTTAATATTTATTGTTACTTTTTATACAAATTTAGACACACCAAAATAATTTAAATTAAAGTAACCAAACCCACCAATATGAAACAAAATTAAAATTCATAATTTGATATTAATA